GGGAATGACAAGAGTGGCCGTTGGGAACCAACCCAAAGATATTGAAGTATTGATTGAAAATATGGTTTTGGAGTACATTGAAAGAGATAATTGTTTGATACTAGCGGTTACTGCAGCCAATCAGGGTATGTGTGATTTAAAACTTACATACAGTAATAATTATTATCATAAATGTAAAAATACAATAAATAACTAAATTTGCAGATCTGGCCACTTCTGATGCCCTCAAACTGGCCGAAAGAGTTGATCCAAGCGGTGACCGAACCATTGCTGTTCTCACAAAACTGGATCTAATGGACAACGGAACTAATGCAAGAGATATTTTAAATGGCAAACACGATATCCGATTGAAACGAGGTTTCATTGGTGTCGTTAATCGATCCCAAAAAGATATCAATGAAAATAAAGACATTACGAAAGCGTTGGCCGACGAAAACCAGTTCTTCGCCAAACATCCGGCTTATGGGCCAGAAATGGCCAAACGATTGGGTATTAAATACCTTCAGGAATATCTACAACAGGAGCTGTCAAACCATATCTCCCGTAAATTGCCGCCTTTGAAGACTAAATTAGACTCAAAACTGCGCGAAACTAACGATAAATTAGAGAAAATGGAGATTCCCTTAGAAGATGACGATAAAGAGGGACTTCTGTCTGAAAATAGTCGTAAGTTTCTCGAGTTGTTTGAGAGTTCAGTCGGAGGAAAGGTATGGAAAGTGAATGTGACTGAATTGAGCGGCGGATCAAAGATTAATCTACTGATGAACGACACGTTTGCCAAAGAAGTGGACGNAAAGTGAATGTGACTGAATTGAGCGGCGGATCAAAGATTAATCTACTGATGAACGACACGTTTGCCAAAGAAGTGGACGACTTGTTTGCTGATGAAAATCGCTTGAGTCGTGAGATCGTGACAGCCGTTCAAAACGCTTTCGGTACTCGTTTAGGACTTTTCGTACCCGACACTGCCTTTGTCTCATGTGTTGAGAAACAAATTGGTATTAAAATTATTATTTGCTATAAATTTACTTCTAACCCATTGTTTGGTGATATTGCAGAGTACTTCAGGAGACCAGCACTTGATTGTGTGGATTTGGTTACCGATGAGATCATTACGACAATCAACAAATGCGCTGATAAGATAAAATCGCACCAAAACTTAAGGTTAGTTTTAATAAATTGTTTTTATTTTTATAAATTTAATTAATAAATGCATTACTCTTAGAAAAATATTCACGGATTTAACGGTTGAATCTATTCGTAAATCTAATAAGAGATGCAAGGATTGTGTCGAGCATTTTGTCGAAACAGAGATGTGTTATACGAATACAATTCATGAGGATTTTCTCAAAATGATCGGGTACACTTTTTTAGCATTAACAATGCAACATAAAAAGCACACATTTTTATTTATGTTATAATTAACAAATATTATATACCCTACAAATAGTGAAGTAAAAACTGCGTCCATAGCTGACGCCCAGTTGAAAGTGTCGGCACAAGTGGTTCAGCAGACCTTAAAATCAGATTGGATTTCATACAAGAAGACTAAATATTGGTTTGTTCTGAAAGGAAACACTCTTTCCTGGTTTAAAGACGACACACTTAAGGACAAAAAGAGTACAATTAATTTGAGTGGTTCTCACTTTAAAGGCACAGAATCCGATCACTCAGTGATTATCGTCTTATCAAAAACGTAAACATTTTATAAAAATATTATATCTATTGTAAAAATAATATGAATATATTTTTATTTAAATATTATAGTAATAGGAAACTTACTCTATCGCTGAATAAGATAAACGATGTCGAGTTAGTATTCCCTACGGAAGAGTTGGCCTTAAAGTGGAGCGTATGGTTAGAGGAGGCGGGGGTTAAGCCGAGTTCGGGTGACAATCAAACCACGATCTCTAACGGCGACAATGAGTCGGTGTCTAACATGTCTTTGAAGGTTAATTCGCAATCGGACCTCAGTATAGGTGCCGGCGATGAAGACATGGCTTTTCCCGAACATATGGCCACACAAGTGGACGAAGTGAAGAGATTAGTCAATGCATACATTGTTATAATGAAGAAGACTTTCAAGTATGTCATAAAGTGTTTAAATACATTATTCAATTAATTTTTGTTTCTTATAATTGATATAATTTAGGGATCGTTTGCCAAAACTATGTCAATACGAGTTAATAGACTCTACGTGTAAATACATTGGCACTAAACTTCAGGTACAGATTCGCAAACAGTTCCCATCCATTGATGATATCATAGGCGATGATCCAAACAAAGCCATTAGAATTGAATTACAGAATTTGAAACAACAATATATTGAAGGAATTGAGATAATGGATAAGTTCTCTAAGCTAAAGTCTAGTTTAGAGTCTACAGAATCTACAGAATAAGTAAATAATTTTGTGAAATGTAATTATTCACAAACAATAATGTGATTGATTGGTAGAATTGTTATAAACTCATAGAAAGTAATTTTATTAATAAAGTTATAAATTGAGATATTTTGTGTTTTTAATTTCAATTGAAATTATTTTAATACAATTATCGGTAATATGTTGTATGTTTGGTGCGGGCAATATATCTCTAGAAGTATAAAAATAGTTATTAAGTTTTATGACTTTAATTTTGGACAATTTTGACAGTAAGACCAGTATGTCGTCGGTTATATTATTGTTTGCGTAATAACTAATGTCAATATATTGTAATTTAGGCATATTTTTCCCAATTTGAGCAAAAAATGTATCGTTTGAATAGTTTAACCATTTTATCACTGAATCCAGTTTTAAATGCGTTAAACGATTGCATTTATCCAACGCTTTGTCCGGTAATACAAACTCTTTATTAGGAAAATAAGCACTGATTTCTAATCGTTTTAATCGCCAATAAGTTTCGTTCACTATTTGTATGGTTTGTGTCAATAGATCGCCGGTTTTGTGCCGGAATTGTAGCGATAGTGACGACAATTTTGTTGAGTTTAGACCAATTTGTTTCAATCCATTTAAAAGTATATCATTATTGCAATCGTTGACATGTATTTGTGTTAACTTGATATCAATCAATTGTGGCATTTGTGACAATCCTTTCATCAATGCAGTCAATGATTGTCTATTCCTGTCATCCAATACATTAGACATACAATACATATCAATATTAACCGATTTTAATGAATTTTGGTAATTACCAGCAAAACGGACAAAATTGTCACTAAAATCGTCGGTGTATTCAAAGCGAAATTTATTTAGTTTCGGGAATAATATATCGTTTCTCTCATCAAATACTAGCGGCAAAAGTGGTGTATTATTCACACCTAAACTGTTTCTATAGATATAAAACTTAAACAATTTAATTTCCTCTAAATGTTTGCATTGCATTAGATTTTCATTGATAGTCTTGTGGTACCCATAATTGCGGTTGATATGAAAGTTAAATGCTTTCAATTGTGGACAAAGGGTTTGAAAAAACGTTGTTAAAGGTTTGCCGACAATCATACCCTCGACAGACATATTGATGTCGATTATCCGCTGGAAGTGTTGAGAGATTAGATGTAAAAAACATTTATCAAACTTTTGGTTTATGAAAAACATGCGGAGAGAGTGAATGTTTGGCAATTTGCTAAACATTGTGCCAAATACTCGTCGATATTTTTGACCATGATGCTTTTTGCATTTCAATACCATATCTGTTTGTAACGTTAGCTCGTTTTGTGTGTTAAATATTAATCTTTGCCATTGTTTGGACACACATTCGCATCGGAACCGGTCTTCGAGTGGTAAATAACTCAATATTATTTGACACAAATCATCGCCATATCTATCGATACTGTCTTTTCTTTCCATTATTGGTTTGACTAAAATATTAATTTTTTGATTAATTAATTGTTTTGAAATTTATATAAATTATTAATTATGTTATATTTACCTCTAATTTTAATTCATTTTGATAAATGATAATATTTATGGTAAAATTTATTAAAACATTAATGTACAAAATAAAATTTATAATTAGTATCAAATAAATGAATGAAATGAATTTTAAAAATAACAATAATTAACATTAAAACTTAATTAATAAAATGTCTATAATTTAGCAAATGCTCGCATAGATATGCTGTATTGTATATAATTTACAAGTAATGTACTTAACAACTTATAAGATAAGATTATAATGGTTACTATATTTCATATCTCGGTTGTTAATTTATAAAACTAATTAAATTTACCAAATAACAATAAAGTTTTAAGATTTTATTTATGTGCCCAAAAATGTAATTCAAATTACAAATACATTGTAAATTTTTATTAGTACTCTAATTATGCAGTTTAATTAAATCAGAGTTTAACCTAATTATAGATTTAAAATATTTGTTAAATTAATGGATAAAAATGCCAAAATTATTGTACGTGTAGTTCACTAATAGTGAAGTAATTATAAGCTTTATTATATTAGTATTAAATTCATTAAAGCATTAAATGTACACATTTTTATCAAATAAAAAAATAAATCATTGCTTTTTTCAAACAATTCATTAAAGCAACAAAATTATTATTTCACACCAAAACTATTTTAATTGCATTTTCAATGCATTCATTATTGCCATAAATACGATACATGTGTAAACTGTAATACACTGTATTAAGTACAGTATTAACAGTACATTCAGTGTCAGTATATTTAGCCCTTCAATGCATACAAAATCAGTGCATTATACCATTGGTAGCGTAAATAAAAAGTAGCGAAAATGTGATTTTCCTTCGCCGAATAGTAACGTCCAGAAATTGTCACGTTTTTTGTTGAATAAACTTAAATAAATTTATATGCGATTTCATTACGTATTTTATGCGCGAAGAAAAATCACATTTTCGCTACTTTTTATTTACGCTACCA